TGGAATGTTGGTTATTACATTGTGAAGCAACATCTCCTCTGGGTAGTCCTGAACGTCTTCTGGGGCTCCATATGCAGATGGGTGGCTGGAGAAAAGCATGTTAGTGAAAATCACAGACTTTCTGGTAGCAACCAGAAGAGGAGCAACCGTCTGAGGTAGCACCAAATCCCAACACGTGCAAGACGTTTTGGAGGGAGGCAAAGGCTGTATGCCACTTTCCAAATGTTAGGATTTTTATTTGTTATAAGGACTAACCACCAAAGACTAATTTACAGGCCTACATCAACTTGCAAAGCCTAGGAGGCTGGAGTTAACCTCAATAAACAATAGACATTGCAGCTACAATTAATAATTAATTAATTAATTAATACTTATTAATAAATTGTCATGTTCTACATCACCCTCAGTTACATGGGCTTCCTTTCTGCCATCTGCTTCACAGTGGCTTTCCTGGCCAGGAACCTGCCTGGGGCCTTCAGTGAAGCCAAGCTGATCACCTTCAGCATGCTGGTCTTCTGCAGCGTCTGGGTGACTTTTGTGCCCGCCTATCTGAGCACCAAAGGGAAGTTCATGGTGGCCGTGCAGGTCTTCTCCATCTTGGCCTCCAGTGCTGGCCTCTTGGGCTGTATATTTTTTTCCCAAGTGCTACATTATTATAATAAGACCAGATCTAAACACTAAGGAACATCTAATGAGAAAAGGATTTATTCATAAAAATGCTTTAATTATAGCTTTCTAATTATCATCCTGGAATTTTACCTTTATTTTTTTCCCAAGTGCTACATTATTATAATAAGACCAGATCTAAACACTAAGGAACATCTAATGAGAAAAGGATTTATTCATAAAAATGCTTTAATTATAGCTTTCTAATTATCATCCTGGAATTTTACCTTCATAAAGTTGAAGGAGCCCCTGAGGCCCTCTAGTGCAACCCCCTCCTCTCCGCAGGAATTCCAGTTAAAGCATTGCTGACTGATGGCTGCCTGCTCTTTGCATTAAGACTTTCAGTGAAGGGGAGATTGAACTTCTCTGGTCACTGGTTGAACTCTCAAACTACTGGTTCAACTACTCTTCCATTTTGGATGTTTTTCCCATCATTCAGCCAGAATCTCCTCTCTTGAAACTCAGTTCTTGGTTTCATGTCCTGCACTCTAGAATAACAGTGAACAGGTCTTCAGCTTCTGTGTGGCATCTTGCAGGTATAGGAAGAGTGCTATATTCTCCCTTTTCCAACTTACAGGCTTTGTAAATAAAAATTGGTAGCTGGAAAAGGTGCTCCCAGACTTCTGATTTTCAGCTCCCATAGACCAACTTGGGCTTTCTTTTTGTTGTCTTTCCTCAAGGCTAAGAGCACCTCCTTCGATTTCTTCAGTAGCTTCACTGCCCTTCCCTGAACCTGATCCAATTCTCTTGCAGTGTCTTCTCCAAGTGTGGTGTCTGCAAGTGGACCCAGGACTCAGGTTGGGGACGCACCACACCAGAATAGAGTAGAACATTC